GCAATGCACTCTTCCAGGTATGTCCTTTGCATTTTAGTCATAAACATGAACATGGAAATTAGTCTTTTTTTAACTAAAAATTCAAAAGTAAAAAAGGAGAATAATAATATTTTGCAAATAGTTTGTCTTCTATGTGTGTATATCTTAATTCTCCCAAAGATGAGAACTCCTACTTTTCTTTTTTATCTTATTTTTGACACTTAAAAAAACACATTATAGGTGCCCATACATGTGCTCAAATTTTGACTAGGCTGTGTTTGGTTGGAACTAGATTTGAGTTTAATAAATTTAGATGTTGGTAAGAATGTGTTTTGGTTTGTTTGGCTATTGGTTGGCAGTTTTCGCTTTAATCATTATTTTGGATTGAGATATTTGGTGTTGTATTGGAGCTTGGAGCTTGGTTTTAGTGTTGAATTTTTTTCTTTTTTTCTTTTATTTTCAATGGGACTTTGATTGAGTCATCACATGTGTGCACGTGTGGTGTCGAGTGTTGAATTTTTTTCTTTTTTTTCTTTTCTTTTCAATGGGACTTTGATTGAGTCATCACATGTGTGCACGTGTGGTGTCTTCATCGCTGAGTTTTTTTCTTCCCCAATTATGCACCTCTTCATAGGAAAGTATCCCAAACGGATTCTTCTTCGCATACGGATTACATTGGAGACACCCAAACTAACCATGGAATTATCATCGTACATGACTCTTGGTAGGTCGTCTCAGCCTCAACTGCTTAAGTTCTCACGTAAAAATGTTGTAAGTACTGGCCATAATGATTTCCTTGATACAAATAGATAAAGGGACATTGTTACATTCAAGGAGTGCAATGAGGTATATTTGATACTACTAATAATTCTATTCATATAGTTCTTTTACATATTATAAATTGTGTGCTTTTTTCATTAAATACTTTATATTATTATGTGAGTTTTGTGATGCATACTAATATATAATAAATTTTAAAAAAGGATGGATCCTATGTGGTGTACGGGACTATCGTGGCAGTGAACAATATAATGACTCTGATTGGTGGTATTTATTATGTAGTTAAACCAAATGGTGCATGTATTATTGCGTGCATTACTCATGACGTGTGTTTAACGTCACCTTGAGGTTTAATTTTAATCTTTGTTCCAACTTTTATATTTGCACTCCTAGGTTTATAATTCAAAGTAAAATTGATTACGGATTTTATGCATTATAGGTATCTTATCACGCTCTCTGTTAAAGATGATTTTGGAACTATGTTTGTCTTATTTGACCATGAGGCCTCCTGTATTTTAAGTACACCATGTGACCAATTGATGGATAAAAGTGACGCAGTATGTACTCTTTCTTCTAATTGAATAGTTAATTTGATCGCAAACGAAGGAAGAATTTATTTAAAATCACTTTTTTATTCAACTAAATCTGATTGGGAGTATATTGAGTCAACGACTGCTCTTTAAGTATATGACCTTTCACTAAATACCCCGGAGTAGTATTTAGTTTTGAAGTTTGCACATGTTTTGTATACCTGAACACAATGTCTCATTCTTCTGACAAGCTTGGTTAGTGCTCAACATAGTATATTATCCACCATATAGACATATCACTTATTTTGGCCGAAATAAAGAAAGAAAACAACTTGCCACCACAAACACTATAAATTTTCACATGATTCATTAAATGCCTTATTTGTTTGACAAAATAGAACACAAAGAGATGAAAATGTACTATCATCACATTCATCAAATAATGCTTTACCCCAGTGCATATTTATTTATGCCTCTCTGTTACCTGTTTAATTATATGAGGATACAATAAGTGGACGATATGTTTATGCAATTATCTTCATTTCCTTCTCTTTTTTATCCATAAGAACATACCTTCACCACTATATGACCTTTCAGGCTTTCACAGAATAATATTCACTTTTAAACAATACACCCATCTCTTGATTAAAAAAATTGCATTTTTAATTTTTGACTTTTTTTTGCATTTTTAATTTGACAAAGATAAGTATTTTCGAATTACATGGAAACAGAGATTTGGCATGTGTCATTGAAAAGTTAATTTATTATGAGTTCATTTTAAACACCAGGTAAACAATTGACAATTAATTTTATCATCTTAGCTTCACTTTACTCCCAACTTGAATCGAGGGAAATAAAACTTCCTAATGAATTTCAGCTTTGCTTTTTAACACAACATCTGTCTTATTATACTAATGTATACATAAAATTTCTCAGGTGGAAGTTTTGAGAGACCAAAGGAGTTTGATGACCTTGGGAAGACCTATCTTTTTAGGATTGAGGTGAGGATGGTGTTTTGAAATCACCATGAATTAACTTTGAGTGTCCAAAATCTGTCACGATGATACCTCCATAAAAAAATACATGGAGTCTATTCGAGCAAAAGTAAAGATTTGGCACTTTCTTTATGATTTACTCTTAGAGAAATTTACCTAAATAGGACTAAAACATAATGACTTTCCCAATATAGGACCATATGTTTTTATTTCCCAATGTAGGACTTTTGCTCATTATCAAGTAGTCATTATTCAACTAAATGTCCATCATTACTAGACATTATTCCTTCCACTAGGTCATTATTAAGTCATATTTAGGGAATAAAAAAGTTTAAGTCCTACATTAGGAAAGTTATTATGTTTTAATCCTATTTAGTGCAAA